TGTGTGGAGACGGACAAAACTCCAGACGCGTTTTGAGCTCCAGAGTTGCTAAACAGGACTGGAACGGAACGTGTGACCCCACCAATGGATTCCTCGTTCGGAGAGCATATCAATGACCGGCCGCGGAGAGGAGATAATGGGAACGAGTCGCTTGAGAGCAGTGTAGGACAGGCAAGATAAGACGGCTCAGTTTTTCTTCTAAAACGCCCGATCTCCTTACACCGCCCCGCCTCACTCTGCCCCGCCTCGCCTACCCCCCCTCCCCCCCCCCCCCCCCCCGCGCACTCCAGACCCCCAGCCGCCCCTCTGTTGACCGAGCCCGCGTGCCGCGTGTGTGCTGTGGGGACACTGTGGGGACTGGGCGACAAAAACTCACTGTATCTGCGCGCGTCGTCTGCGGCAGTTACACGAAACGCGCCTTCCTTCTCCTTCTCCGCCTCGCGGCGCCAAAATTCCTCGTTCCTCACCGGTCGCTTGATTTATCAAGTCGTTCGCGGGGCGAAACTTCCGCCGCCGACATTCCGGAGAGAAAGAGGCGCGAAAAACAATTCGGCGCTGCCAACCCACAGTGGGCCAGAAGGCCGGTGGAGGCGGACAAAACTCCAGACGCATTTTGAGCTCCAGAGTCGCTAAATGGGACTCGAACCGAACGTGTGACCCCACCAATGGATTGCTCTCCGAACGAGGAATCCATTGGTGGGGTCACACGTTCGGTTCGAGTCCTGGTTAGCGACTCTGGAGCTCAAAACGCGTCTGAAGTTCTGGCCGCCTCCACCGGCCTTCTGGCCCACTGTGGAGAATAGGTAAGTGACGTTGCCAGTGAAACAACACCCGGAAGGGGAGGCCGTCGGCAGGATGTGCGTACGGAGTACGGACCTGAGAGCTTCATCAGGGGAGCCTCTGCACCCCAGAACGCCCCCTGTCTCCCGTCTCTGTTGCTCCCGTTGCAATGGCTCGGGTACGACAGAGACTAGCAGTGGCGTCTTCGAACGCGGCCCGGGGAGGCACCCCGCCCCTGCCTGCCTCGCTGCATTCCTGGGGGGCTGTGTGGCCGCGCTGGAGGAATACGAATGTAGCAGCGCTCTCTCTCTCTCTCTCTCTCTCTCTCTCTCTCTCTCTCGCTCTCTCTCTCTCTCTCTCTCTCTCTCCAGGGGGAGTGGAGTGTTACGCCGATTTCCACTACTAACGAACGACGCCCAGCCGAAAAGCCACTCCGGCCAAAGAGGAAAAGCGAGGGTCTGTGTTTTGCTGCACGCGTCCGGAGTGCTTTTTCGTCTAGCTAGCTGGCCCACTGGATGTCTAGCAGACTGATTCCGAGTCGCTCTGTCTCTATCGCACCTGTGCGGGACACCCCATGAGCGCGAGAGAGACAGAGTCTGCTGGAGCGCGCCATCGCCTGCCTCCAGGAATCTCCCGGCGCACGCAGTGAGCCAGGAAACCGCGCAGGTGGCCAAAACTCTAGACGCGTTTTGAGCTCCAAAGTCACTAATTGGGAGTCGAACCGAACGCGTGACCCCACCAATGGAATGCTCTCCGAACGAGGAATCCATTGGTGGGGTCACACGTTCGTTTCGAGTCCCATTTAACGACTCTGGAGCTCAAAACGCGTCCGCGGGGTTTTGATCGCCTGCATCGGTCTTCTGGCCCACTGTGCGGCGTCCCTTGTGGGGGTTGAGGGAGCAGGTGGTCCCCCCACCCCAACCCTTCCCCCAACCTCAATCCGCGCCACCGCAGCAGGGCCACCAACTTGGGCGTTAAATCGCAGCCCAACACTCAATTAACAGTTCCGCCGCCAGTGCCGCCACCCTACCCGCACCAACTGTGGCGAAAGTCTGGATGATTGTCTGCCGTGCACTGCCGCGGCGGGTGAGAGGGGGGGGGGGGGGGGGGTAGGACTACTTCCAATCACTTCCCGACCAGAAAAGCCCCAAAGTGGAGCAAAGTTATTTCGAAGGGGGATGCGGGAACCTCCCTCCCGACGCCATTTTGTACAAGGCGGTTTTGCAAAGACCCTCAAAACGCGCATCTTGTCAGGAAAAATCGGGAAAAGTAAAGCATTTTATTTTCAGGAGTTTTTAGACGAGCATGGCATGAGCTCATCTAAGCGGTTCATTATGGTGGTTCATTGGGTTTACAAAGCAGAAAACCCCAATCCCTAACCTAATTTGTTAATAACTAGTTGAAATATTGTCACTATAGATTTGGCAATGCAAATGTACAAATACTATGACCATAGATATGGACAATAAAAGTGCATAAACATTTAGTGAGTACAATTGTCAGGGTTTCCGTCGAAGTTTTGGTTTGGTTTTGCCCAGTGTTTCGGCTGTCCGACCGGTGGCGGTGCAGCGCGGTGCGGGACCGGCTTGTCTTTTTACAACCACCCGGCTGAGGTTACAGCCTTGCTGCCCCCGCGCGCCGTGCTGCCGCGACCACCCTCCCCGGCCTTTGCTGACCATGCACAGTGGGCCAGAAGACCGGTGGAGGCGGCCAAAACTCGAGACGCGTTTTGAGCTCCAGAGTCGCTAAATAGGACTCGAACCGAACGTGCGACCCCACCAATGGACTGCTCTCCGAACGAGGAATCCATTGGTGGGGTCACACGTTCGGTTCGAGTCCCATTTAGCGACTCTGGAGCTCAAAACGCGTCTAGAGTTTTGGCCGCCTCCACCGGTCTTCTGACCCACTGTGCCATGCCGGCTCGCTTCGCATACCCGCTGCCGTTTCCACGAAAACCGAGGAAAAACACCCCTCCTCGTTCGCCTCCGATTCCGACCCCGGCGGCCCAAAAGGCCGAAAGGTTCGTGCCCGCCGCCGCCGGTACTCGAACCCAGGCCGGCCGGTGCCGCGTTCCAGAAACGGGCATTTGCTTTACAAATTCGGCGCGACCCTGGCGGGCCTGAAGGGCCTGAAGGGCCTAAGGCACGGTGAGCGAGAGAGAGAGAGAGAGAGAGAGAGAGAGAGAGAGAGAGAGAGAGAGAGAGAGAGAGAGAGAGAGAGAGAGAGAGAGAGAGAGAGAGAGAGAGAGAGAGAGAGAGAGGGAGAGAGAGAGAGAGAGAGAGCGGTTCGAACGTGGCGCCGCGAAGCCGGCCGGCGTCCCGTTTGTTTGGCCGGTCGCCGCTGGTTGCCATGGCGACCTCTATGGCGACCCGGCGGCATGCCGGCGGCGAGGCGAACCGGCGGTGCAGCAGCGCCGGCAGCGCAGCCCCGCCGGCGCGGAGCGTTGCGAAGCACGCCCTGCAGTGCACACCCTTGCCGACACTTGGCGGTGTAGCACCTGCAGCACTGTCACCCAGTCACCCTCTGGCGGCGCGGTACACTGCGAGAAAAGATCACCGTAAATCCTGTACTGATTACTCCAGACTTCACCGTACTTTTTTTAACAGGCAATGCCGTCGTTTTTTTACAGGCAATACCGTACTTTTTTTTACAGGAAACGCCGTACTTTTTTTACATGGAATCCCGTACATTTTCCCCCGGCAATCCCGTACTTTTAATACCTATCAAAAACTGCTATAATTTTGTTCAGTCGATTGACCCTCTTTTTCCAAGTTCCTGATGTACGCAACTGCTGAAGTCGGACTCCTGGACCCCTCTTCCGACCACTCGTTGGAAAGGTCTTGACGAGACCTATTGAAAGGTGCAATAAAAATTTTCAGTCGGTCGACCCCCTTTTTTCAAGATCCTGATGTGGACACTTCTTGGAAGCGGCCTTTGTTGGGACCAGATCTGGTCTTTCCTACGGCATGGACTGTACGGAAGAACGGTAACTACTGTTAAAAGACTACGGAATATTTTGTAAAACAAGTACGGTAAATACTGTAGACTGTACGGAGGATACTGGTTTTTGAAGTACGGTAAAGTTTGGCAAAAAAATTATCCAGGATTTACCGTCATTTTTTCTCAGAGTGTAGACCCTTCCCATACCCCACCTCCGACCCCTTCGCGCACCCCCGGCGTTCAGCGGGCCCTTCTGACCCACTCCAACCCGCTCCAACCTCTCAGCTGCTCAACCGCCTGCCGGTCATAACCACAATGTGGTTGACTATTGCACAGCGGGCCGGAAGACCGGTGGAGGCGGCTGAAACTCTCGACGCGTTTTGAGCTCCAGAGTCGCTAAATGGGACTTGAACCGAACGTGTGACTCCACCAGTAGATTCCTCGTTCGGAGAGCAATCCATTGGTGGGGTCACACGTTCAGTTCGAGTCCTGTTCAGCGACTCTGGAGCTCAAAACGCGTCTAGAATTGACCGCCTCCACCGGTCTTCCGGCCCGCTGTGCGTGGGTGGCCCAGCCTGTCGCGTGCCGTGCGCCGCCACTGCAATTTCGCACACGTCGGACGCGGCGAAAGCGGCGAACGCCAATCACAGTGCCGTCGCTACACTGGTGTACGCGTCGCTACACTGTCCACGTGGCGGCCTTCTTATTGCACACGTGGGAGGGCGGGGAATTGATTGGCCCGGCTCAGACTGGCTGCTCTGCCTGGCTGCCTGGCAGTGGCGTGGCGCCGGTGGGGGTGGGTAGGGTACAGTACCAGGCGGTGATGTTCCTCTCCGTTTACTTTCGCTTTTTCCGTCCACTTCCGGTTATTTACGCAATTTCCGGTTATTGGCGGTTATTTTCGCGTACTTCCGGTCACTCCCGTTTACTTCCGGTCACTCCCGTTTACCTCCGGTCACTCCCGTTTACTTCCGGTCACTTCCGGTCGGTTCTGTTGACTTCCGGCCGTTTACTTCCGGTTATTGCCGGATACTTCCGTGTACTTTCGGTCACTTCCGTTTATTCCCGATCACTTTCTCGCATCCGTTCAGTGCTGGTTACTTCCGGTTATTGCCGGACTTTCGTGTACTTCCGTTTCACTTCCGGTTTACTTCCGGTTACTCTCGTTTACTTCCAGTCACTTACGTCGGTTCTGTTTACTTCCGGCCGCTTACTTCCGGTTATTGCCGGATACTTTCGCGTACATCCGTTTCACTTCCGGTCTACTTCCGGTTACTCACCACAGACGCAGACGAGCAACGTGGCCAGCACTGCGAGCATCCCGCGGTTGCCTCCGGCGTTGCCTTCGGGGGCGGTGCGGGCGGTGCGGGCGGTGCGGTGCGGGCGGCGCCGTGGCCAGGATGGCCCCCCAGCCCGCCCCCGTGGCCCTGGCGCCCCCCGAGGCCCCCAAGGCCCTCCTGGTGGCGGCCCTCGTGGCCCCCAAGCCCCGGCGGGCCCGCGCTCCAGGCTGGCGGCGGGGGCCCAGCCCCTCTAGCGGGGCTGACAGGGCCGGGGTCGCGACGACCGCGTGCTCCAGGTGCTCCGCGTGCGGGCGCGGGGCCTGGCCGAGGGCCTGGCGCGGGGGCGGGGCCCCGGCCAGGGGCGGGTCCGGGCGGAGGCGCGGTCGGGGCGCGGGCCGGGCCGCCTAGTCCGCATGCTGTCCGGTGTGCCCGCACCCCCGTGCGGGGCGTGGAGCCTGCAGCCCCCGGCAGCGTGCGCCTGCAACAAAGACAACGCGTTTGCAACCAGACCGCGCTGCACAGTGGATTTGCCGCGGTGGAGCCGGCCGAAACTCTAGACGCGTTTTGAGCTCCAGAGTCGCTAAATGGGACTCGAACCGAACGTGTGACCCCACCAATGGATTGCTCTCCGAACGAGGAATCCATTGGTGGGGTCACACGATCGGTTCGAGTCACATGTAGTGACTCTGGAGCTCACAACGCGTCTAGAGTTTCGGCCGGCTCCGCCGGTCTTCTGGCCCACTGTGTGGGGGCGGGAGGAAGGGGCAGACAAGTGTCGTGCCATGCGGGCTACAGTGGTATGTACTCCGTTACTGAGTGTCTTGTCAAAGTGAGCCGAGGACGGCCCGGAAACGCCCTGCATGCATTACGCTGGGGATGGACAGGGCGGGGGAGGCTCGGGGGTAGACGCTGGCCCTCCACGGGGAGTCCAGGGGGAGGGGGTGGAAGGGGTAGTCTCGCTCTCCAGGACCAGGAGGGGGCGCCAACTCTCCAGAAAGGGGTAGGGGGTGGGGGCACAGCTGCTGCGGCACAGCCAGAAGTGCCCCCTCCCCCCCTCCCGGTGGTGAAAGTAGCCCGGCCGCCCTATGCGGTTCAGGCACTGCGCCAGACACGGCGCCCCCCAGGGTCCCCCCTCCCCCTGAGCCTCCCCACCACAAATTTGCCACTCGAGTACGTGAGCGGGATGATGGCAAGGCCGGCCAGGCGCAACCGCACGATCAACAGTTTTTTTCATGTGCCGATTTTGAGCGGCGGGCCGGACACTTGGCCGCGTGGCCCGGCGCGGCGCACAGTGGGCCAGAAGGCCGGCGGAGGCGGCCGAAACTCCAGACGCGTTTTGAGCTCCAGAGTCGCTAAATGGGACTAGAACCGAACGTGTGACCCCACCAATGGACTGCTCTCCGAACGGGGAATCCATTGATGGGGTCACACGTTCGGTTCGAGTCCTGCTCAGTACAGTTCGGCGTGGTCAAGGGTGTCGAACGAGGAACCCATTGGTGAGGCCACACGATCGGCACGAGTTCCATTTAGCGAGTTTGGAGCTCAAAACGCGTCTAGGGTTTCGGCCGCCTCCACCGGTCTTCTGGCCCACTGTGCCCCGGCTACACCACAGGGCTCCACCACAGGGCTATTCGCTGCCACACGGCACCGCAGGCACCGCCATCCCTGCTGACTGCTATCGAACGCCCTGGCCTGAATACCGCCTCGTCGAGCCCAGTGTAGGGCCTGTACGGCCTGCAGGGCCTGCACCTTTACCCTTCCCTTAGGGCCCAGCACAGTGGATTTGCCAGAAGACCGGTGGAGGCGGTCAAAATCCCGGACGCGTTTTGAGCTCCAGAGTCGCTAAATGGGACTCGAACCGAACGTGTGACCCCACCAATGGATTCCCCGTTCGGAGAGCAGTCCATTCAGCGACTCTGGAGCTCAAAACGCGTCTGGAGTTTCGGCCACCGGTGCCAGTCTTCTGGCAAATCCGCGGTGCGGCCCAGCCAAGGCAGCCCGCCCTGTCCGTCCAAGACCCTTTCCCCGAGAGAGAGCAGACTGGCCAGAAATCGCTGTTAAATTGGTGAGGGTCAGGGTCCCAAAGTGTCGCGGGCGACGGAGCGGTCACGCGAGGGCTGGCGGGCAGGCGGGCCAGCAGACAGACAGACAGACAGACAGACAGACAGACAGACAGGCAGACAGGCAGACGGGCCAAAGGCGAAAACGGTGCAGCGGGAGTCTTAGAGCATTGAGCGGACGGGAGTAAGAAGTTCGGTAAGTCGAAGCCATCGACTTTGTCGGTGTTGTCACAATCGATCTTCGATTGCTCGTTCGATTGCCCCCCACCGAAGCGCAATCACCACAATCGGGAAGGGTGGATATCATAATCAGAGAAAGGTGGTCAGCACGGCCGGATTTAGTCGAAGTGCAAGATAAACTGTGGAAAGAACAAATGACTTTTTGGTTCACGCTAAATAGTGTTAGACTGTTCCACACTTGGATTTGCAGTGTGGAACCCGGTCCAAGGGTCGTCCTGGAGACGTCCAAGGGTCGTCTAAGGGACGGGGGAAGGGACGGCGGCCAATAATGCGAAATAACAATCAAGTTATCGTATGGAGCGCACGCAGTGGCAGTATTTCAGAGCGGCATAGCACTATTGCTTCAAGCAGGGGCCGGGAGAAGAGGGCGGGACCGACAGACAGACAGACAGACAGACAGACAGACAGACAGACAGGAGAAAGACAGTTTTTGCCAGTGCCGCCCTCGGTTTGCTGAACGAGGTCCGACTGCTCAATAATTTGCTCATGCTACAATCAGGCCAGGGCCGACAGACGGCCTATTCCGGAATCCGGCTTTCGGCCACCCTGCGTTCCGAACAACGCACAGTGGGCCAGAAGAACGGCGCAGGCAAGCAATACTCTTGACGCGTTTTCAGCTCCAGAATCGCTAAATGGGACTTGAACCGAACGTGTGACCCCACTAATGGATTCCTCGTTCGGAGAGCAATCCTTTGGTGGGATCACACGTCCGGTTATAGAGACCTGAAGCTCGAACGCGTCTAGAGATTTGGCGCCTCCACTGTGAGGCGCCCCTCCCTGCCGGCAAACAAAATGGAATAAAACGATTCGCTGCCGCAGACTGATTCCGAGGGTCGTCTTCGTCGCTCTGTCTCTCTCGCTCCCGGAGGGGACTCTCCATGAGTGCGAGAGAGACGACACGACGAAAGTGCCTCCCGCAATCAGTCTGCAGGATGCATGCACACCACGAGCGCGCCAGCACCGAGTGTCAGCTGACTGATTCCGAGAGTCGTTCTCGTCGCTCTGTCTCTCTCGCACCATGTATGGGACGCACTATGAGTGCGAGAGAGACAGAGCGACGACTCTCGGAATCGGTCAGCAGGCGGCCCTCATTTCCGACAACCCCAGCCATCACTGCCATGGCACTGCCATCAGGACGTGTCATTTGGTGATCGATTCCATTGACACGTGCGCGAGCGCGGCTGTGTGTGTGTGTGTGTGTGTGTGTGTGTGTGTGTGTGTGTGTGAGTGTGCGCATGTGCGCGCGAAAGTGAGTGAGTGATTGAGTGAGTGATTACGTGAGAGAGTGAGCGAGTGAGTTAATGACTAAATGAAAGAGCACTTTCAATGAGGTACCGGCGGACGCGGCCGAAACTCCAGACGCGTTTTGAGCTCCAGATTCGATAAATGGGACTCGAACCGAACGTGTGACTCCACCAATCGATTGCTCTTCGAAAGAGGAACCCATTGGTGGGGTCACACGCTCGATTCGAGTTCAATTCTGGGTTCGTCCGTTTTCGCCGTTTCGGTGGACTGCACCGCGGCAGTGCACTGTCCGCCCGGCCCGCTGGATTAGAGCGATGATCCGATAGCCGGGGCGACGCGAATCGAAATACGAACGGAACTAGGAAACACGAATTGAAATCGGGGGCGCGCCCGACACACGAACGCCTACACTGTCGGGCAAAGGAAAAGGCGGTGGGTGCCGCCGAGCGGAGCCAAGCACTCTTCCTGTAAAAGCTCTGTCTCTCTCGCACTCACGGGGTGTCCCATTCAAGTGCGAGAGAGACAAAGAGACGAGAAGACTCCTCGGAAATAAGCCTGCTTCGCCTGGACCTTGGCATTACTAGGTACACTATTTCAAATTTGCGCTGACACTAGTGCCTGCGTGGTGGATGACCCCGAAGTGAGGTGTTCATAGGGGTGGGAGAGAGAGAGAGAGAGAGAGAGAGAGAGAGAGAGAGAGAGAGAGAGAGAGAGAGAGAGCTTCCCCGCTCGCCCCTTCTCTCTCGCACCTCTAAGGCCGCTGCCCAACGCCCCCGAAGTCAACCGGCCTATCTTGCAGGATTGATGGAGTCGTTGGTAATCCCGTCTCGCTCGCCCCCTAAATAAAAGCCGCCACCAGGCTGATTGCGCGCAGCGCTCTGTCCCTCTCACCCTCGGGGCCGTCGCGAACGGACGGGAGAGACTGGACGTTGCACTGCACAGTGGACCAGAAGACCGGCGCCGGCGGCCCAAAACTCTCGACGCGTTTTGAGCTCCAGAGTCGCTGAACAGGACTCGAACCGAACGTGTGACCCCACCAATGGATTTGCCATCGAACGACGAATCCATTGGTGGGGTCACACGTTCGGTTCGAGTCCCGTTCAGCGACTCTGGAGCTCAAAAACGCGTCCGGGATTTTGACCGCCTCCACCGGTCTTCTGGCAGTTCCACTGTGCGCCCTTTTGCCGTACTTGTAACGCGCTTCTGCCGAGAGTTCCGGAACGCCACACGATGAAGTGCGGCTGGCGCCGGCGGAAAAATAAAAGATGAGGAATTTACAAGGAGCGGGCGTAAGGGTGGTCCGGGTCGACGCAGCCGGAGACCTCTCTCTCTCTCTCTCTCTCTCTCTCTCTCTCTCTCTCTCTCTCTCTCTCTCTCTCTCTCTCTCTCTCTCTCTCTCTCTCTCCCGGGGCGAACCGCACAGGTGCGAGAGAGACAGAGGCCGGCGCGCGCGGCCTGCAGCCAGCCTGCAGCCTCCTCACACATCCAAACAAGTTGTTCTGGCGGAGGGTGCGCGCCACACAGTGTGCCACCCCCCCCCCCCCCGCGTCTC